CATTCGTTTGTTCGCATTTAGCAATCCTCGGTGTTTGACACAATCAAAGAAACCTCCTCCCTCCTTCCCATATAAGTAAAATCTGACCAAGTGTTTGAAAGGAAGAGAAAAGGCAGTCAACGGCATGAACCTTTTTACCCCAGAATTGATTCGGAATTGTTCACTTTGCATTGTCAGTAAGATATTCTACGCCTCTCGTCTGCTATAACCATAATAGATATCAAGGAAATTGATCAACGAGACTACAAAATATACTTTTATTCCATTCATCACTGCGACGACGACCTAGGTATAAGTCTATCTGCTTACCTCCTCACCTACCTATTAATATCTACTACTTATTATCTACTACTTATTTACGACTCTTTATCGACCCCCAAATCACGTTCCGGTCATCATTCCTATTTAATCATCATCATCATCATCATCATCATAAGTCAGAGTTTATATTTAATTACCCTCGTGCCTTGGAAAAGACGGTTCCTACGATATGGATATAATAAACATCACATCATTCTACGAACTAGGTATATAATTGCGCACGATCACTCGTTGAATCTCTTAATATGGGAATCCGTCCCCCTTGGCAATATTGTAATCAAAGTACGTCCGGACTACACGGAGACCCAAACACATGCAGGTGGGAAAGTATGTGAAACAAATGATTCAATTGCCCAATGCTGGAAATGAAATGGGTAAACATGGGATGGAGGGATTCTATCTGATGGATATTGCGTGGGTTTTGTCGTCTTTGTGCGTCTTTCTTCTTTTCATTCACATTTATACCGTATTCATATCATATTATCGGAAGAGGTAAAGATAGAGACAGAGGTAGGTATGATATAAAGTTTATAAAGTTGGGTACCAAATGTACTACGACCTACTTGGTAAAAGTATCTGACCAGATATCTAGCTTCGATGACAACCTTCCCCCTCTTGGGAAGCTCGAGAAGCTTGTGAAGCTTTGAACCTCTTTGATATCCATGATGTCTTTATGTGTCCGTCAGTAGCGAATCGTCTTTGTTGTGTGATACCTTGTCCCTTGTCCTTGGGTATTTCCCTTAGTGTCTCCAGGAATTCATTTATTTCTTACGTGGATATAGCTTTATGGTTAGAACTTCCTTTCCTCACCGACCCAGAGAAGAAAACGACCTCGGAATTGAGCAAGTAAGAAAGAAAAAGTCAATCCAAAGTCCAGGTCCAACTCAAACTCCTGAGGCTCAATTCACCCAATTGGATGCATGCCATGCCATCTTTATAGAAATGGATCAATCAGTCCTCCATATCAATAAATAAATGCAGAGAATCTACCGCGACAGCCAACCATCAAGCTCTTAAATATAGAAACATCATCAATCCCTGCTTATATAATCCCTGTTCATGCAAACCACCAAAACCACCCGTGGACTACCTACCTACCGGCTAACTACAGCATAGCTCCTTCCTGCAGCTCCAACCGACCGCCTTTTGGCAAAATATCAATGTCATGTGATTATCAAGAATTCACCTCCAAATTAATTCAATTCTACAAGCATTGCTTTTGCTACTCCAACAATCTTTATTCACAGCTGCAATTTCTGTCTTTCTTCTTGTAAACTACGATAACATCTCTCTTCCAATCTGCCTGATATTTTTGACACTCTTTATGCTACAGCGAACAGAACAATGGCTACCAATCAATCTTCTAATGAAGATGATCAAGCCTTGAGAGAGAGTTATAATTTCGTACCAGTTCCTTCAGTATATGACCACGACATACGGTTCGAAAATCGAAATACCGAGGAATTGCATCATGGGATACTCGAAGCCGCGCGACTGGAACATGAAAGGGTGCGGAATGAAGCTATGCGAATCTTTCAAATCACTCTCATACACGAACAACAACTCAGAGCCCAACATGAGATCAGAGCTGAAGAGGAAAGGTTACGGATTGAAGAAATGCGGTTGAAGATTGAGGAAAATCGCGTCAATACGGAAAGGCAGAGCGCATTGGCAGAATTAAAGAGGAGGGAATTGGAAGAAGCTGCAAGAAAAATACCGATCGTCCCTCCAAAACCTCCTACCCCTCCGCCAGTAGCTGAAGTTCCTCGAGCTCCTGCACAAACGGCCTCGAATCCGTCTCAGAATCAATCTCAACCTCCTCCCCAGCAACAACATCAGCAACACCAACAGCAACAACCACCACCGCAGCAGAATAATAACAGTGGAGGGGGATTCGGCGCGCCCAGTCAACAAACAAGTCAAAGTAGACCTCCTCAACAAGGCAATGCCTTTTCGCAACCTCAATCTCAACCCCAACAGCAAACGAATGGATTCTCGAGCAACCAACAACAACCACCAAAGCAGCCATCTGCGCAACCTACACCTCAACAACAACCTACGCCTACCTCAAAACCATCAGCTTCTTCCAAGGATCATCTACTACCAGGTGTGGAACGTTATGTTGAAATTCATAAGAATCTTAAACAGTTACGGCAATACTTGGTGACGGAAGGGAAACAAAATATACCATTCAAGAAGATGTTGGGAGATTATCGGAGAGCAATTCGGCAAACTGTTGGACAATTGACTGGGGAACGAGGTGCAAATAGGGAGTGTGTAAGTTTGATAAGTCTCACTTAATATGGACGACCACTAATATTTGATAGATCAACAAAATAGTTACATTACTTGGAGAATCTCTGCGAACGGTACAATCCCCAGGTATCGACCCTAGCAATTATATGGTATCAAAGCCAAATCCTGTACAAGGAGCTCAGAATAATGGGGAACAACTTCCCTCTTTATTCATCTACCTTCTCAACTTTTTCTCGAAGTCTATCGTTTCTCAATTTATCAATGAAGCAGGTGTTCGACCAGAAATGGCAGATCCTGTTGGTGTCATTGCTGTTTCGATATTTGCTAGAGATGAATTTTTATGGAGAGGTTCTTCATTAATCGATATTCTGATGGCGAAAATGCGCGTTTCCATACCGGTAGTATTCGGACTTCGGGGAAATGATAAAACAGAAGAAGGTAGAGCTCGAATAGGATGGCAAAGATTAGATGATGGAAGTTGGATCGACGAACAAGCTCATAACAACAGAATGGTTGGATTAGCAGCAGGATATGCAGCTATTTCTCTCCGTGATTTCTCAAAAGTAAAACTCACAAATCCATGGCCACCAACATATTATTGGAGAGCAATGGCAAGCATTGTATCTACACCTACAGAAGAAGCTTCTTCGACACAATATACAGCTTTGAGATCGATGATCGAAGGCTGGGAACAAAGATTCATAGAACTCTATGGAGTTCAAGCAATTGCAGCTTTAAGAGTGGCTTTAGTAGATTTCCCAGCTCGGGCTCCACCATCGGCCAAAGTAGCAGCGGGTTCGTTGAGTGTATTGGTGGATAAACTGGATCGGGATAAGGGATTAACACTTGCATATTGAGAAGAGAAAAGGAGGGGAGTGCTTGTATGGTACGTTAATAGAATAGAGGGAATGGATTTGGATGTTGAGGAACTTAGATTCGCATATGCAGCTGAGAGGGGAATTTTCTAGTTGTGTTGGGATTTCTTTTGCATGAGGGGCGTTAGCGAGGGGATTTGAATGAGTGAAGTTTGTAACAAACACTTCTCATTTTGGCATGGGAGAGCAGGAGATGCAGAGAGATGGAAATGGAGATGGAAATGGAAATGAGATTTTCACGTCTAGCGAATTATATACCCAATGAATGGAAGCCTTTGTCTCGAATCTGTGGCCGTCTTGAAGTTTCGTGGAATTTTATGTTGTGTCGGTAGGTAGGTGTAGGTGTAGGTGAGTACAAGTTCCCATTCTTGAACTTGAACTTGGTAATGAGGTATGAGGAATTGAGTACGAGGTATGAGGTATGATATGGTGTGAGAAGGAGGGAGAGGGGAGGGAGAGGGGAAGGGAATCTGTAGAGTAAGAAAATCTTTCTTCTCGTCGCATTACATTACATTACATTGTATTGCTTATTATTATCATTTTTTTCGAGGAATCGTACTTGGGATGGTATGGAATATAAGAAATGACCTTGGAGTTTGGAGTTTGGAGTTTGGAATACATTAGGGGGGTAGGTAGGTAGGTAGGTAGGTAGGTATACATCTCCCTTTCGAGATAATTTCCTCTGGGTAGGTAGTTCGTTTTGTTTTCTTTCTTTCTCTCTTTCTTTCCTGCTTTCCTGCTTTCTTTTTCCCTTTTCAAATTTAAGATCACCGAGTTGCCTGCTTTCGCTGAGATACGTAGGTATCTCTAATACCGGTATATGCTTATTATTGTCTTCGTATACGGTATCAATAGATATAGATATATATAGGTAGGTATAAATTTATCTAATATTGTACGACGTAATACATCCCATTAGTCCATGCCTATTCTGATATGAAAATATTCTTCTTCTTCTTCTTCTTCTTCTTCTTCCTCTTCTTCTTCTTCTTCCTCTTCTTCTTCTTCTTCTTCTTCATCTTCTTCTTCTTCTTCTTCATCTTCTTCTTCTTCTTCTTCTTCTTAACCTATCGTCTTCACGACAAGAAATAGGAATAGGAATGAGAATGAGAATCGGCGGTTCACATCCATGTTCACATCTCTGTTCTTAGTCATAATCGTGGGAGAGAGCTGAAAAATGAGAGTTCTGATACCTGCTACTTTGGGTGCAGAGGTTACATTGAATGGCTGTTTGGGATGTGATCTGATTTGCTGATGGCACTTTATTGCTACCTACCTATCTTTATTGTTACTTTTGCGTTTTTGTGCTTACATTGTAGGTAGATATGTACCAGTAGATATATACTGGCTTTGGGTCTGGGTTTGGATCTACTTTGGATTTGGAAATGCAAAAGGTTTCTTCTATTTTCACTTCTTCATTTTTATTTTTTTTTGGTGAACAATTGAGCATATGTACATACGTAAATACGATACGATATCAGTATTTTAAATCGTTTTACGCATCGAATACTAAATATTCGATACTGAATACTGAAGATAAAGATAAAGATGAAGATTTCTACTTCGATTCTTCGGTATGCATGCGTCTGTGTATTCATGTATATTGGGTTTGGAACTGCAAATACAAATCCAGAAATAAAAGCAAGTCCACAGAAAACCACAACCACAACCACAACCCCAAACCCACACCCACACCCACACCCACACCCCTACGATTTCCAAGCCCGAAATCGAGATACGTAGAGTCTCCCTTTCTTATACCTTCCTTTTCTTTTCTTCATTTCATTCCTTTTATTACTTCAATATCCTCTCTTCCCACACCCACACCCACACCCACACTCACTCTCACCCTCACTTTAATCATTAATTGAATATAGTCAATCAAATTCCCCAATCTCAGCTAACGAGAGAATCTACATTCAATGAATATAGTATTAGTCGAATATATAATACGACGATTTATCCTAATAATCTACCGGTTCTTGCGAATGGGTCGACGGCTACGCCGGAGGGGTTGTTTAGTGTGAATGGTGGGTTTATGTGGTTTTTTTTTTTCTTTCTTTTTTTGGGGGCGGGGAGTGTTTGTTTGAGAGGGGTTTTTTGGTTGGTTTTTTTGCGTTGGGTTTTTGTTGGGAGGGGAAAGGGGAGAGGGAAGGGGAAGGGGAGAGGGAAAAGGAAGAGTGGAGAGGGGAGAGTGATGGTTGGGTTATCTGTTTGTTGAGTTATTCGGGGTATTGGATATTGGATACTGAATTCGTGGATTTCGCACTTGAAGTTCGAAGTTCGAACTTCGAATTCCCTGATACAATTCAGATGAAATCTTCATGAATATTCGAGTAGTGCTCAAATACTCAATCATCGATACTGAAATATAAAACTAGAAATCCCCCAAGAATTCAAAAATCGAAGACACTAACCCCTCTACCATTCCCATAGCAACAGGTCGTATTTCCCCCCTGGGAAACTTCACCGGTTTCGATGATTCCACCGAATACTTCTTTGCTCTTTCTCCTATCCCCGGTCAAACTGGTCCTGGGATATTGCGTTCGTTCTCTCTTTTTCTATTCATTCCCCCACTCCCTCCAAAGTCCTATTTCCAGAGTTCCATGTCGAAATCACAACTCACCATCCACTCCCAGAACCAAATTACAACGCATTTACATCCTACGAACTGCATGCCTTCACCTCCGGCTGTCCAGAAGTAGCAAGTACAATCGCCTATCTCAATACAACGATTGTGAATCCTGGTTCTCCTTCTCATGGCAAATATGTTACGAAGATTAAAGAGATTGCTTTTTGGCGGTATATTCTCCCCCCTCTTCTCTCCTCTCTTTCCCCTCTCATCTAATCTCATCTAATCTCATTTCATCTCATCTCATCTCATCTCGGGAGAAAAAATAATTCTAACAAAAACCCTCAAGATTTGATGACACCGGAGCAGTCCTCTACTACGACGCCCAAATCCCCAATCTCTCCCTCTGGTTTGCAAAATTCACCGGGGCGGACATATCGAATGTCGCTGTCCAGACTCTAGATATCGTGACGAATCTATGTCCGCAGATACAAGCGAGATGTACGGGTGCCAATCAAGTGTATTCCAGGTACGTTTCGATTTTTCTTCTTCCATCCTCCAGAATGGGAAACCCCGACGAATGAAAAGAAAAAGCCAAAGAGAAATGCTAATGCGATTGCAAAAAGTGAGCTTGAATGTATAGCGACGCTTTTGGCGAAACCTTTTGGCACGTTTGATGAGACGTGGGGGGATAATATTGTGTGTAGATTGGTGCATGTTGTTTTGACACAGGTTAGACCGGAGGTATGAGATATTTTTTTCGTTTATTGACATTTCTTATTGTTTTTTGATAGGATAGGTTACTCTATTAGAATCTTCTTTGTTTCCTTTCTCCCCCTTTTCTTGACTTCATGATTTACCCTCTCGTGTTCTATTCTCTTGTTACTCTACTCTATCTCCTTCGTACTTCATCCATATTCTCATAACCAACCCCAAGAAAGTAAACAACTAACAAAAAAAGATACACTGTCCCCACGTCGGCCCAACAGGCGGTATGAAATGCGTTGATTATGATTACAACCAAGGGTATCTCGCAGATGACCTGGCGCTTTTCGGTAGTAATGATGCTTTTCGATGTCCTGGGGAGTAGGCTATTTAAAAACCATGTTTGGAATGGTTTTGGATACCCTGAGGATTATCATGTGTACGTAAAATATTGATAAAGAGTTTGATCCTTTCCGCACTCACGAGGAGGCTTTCGGCTGGCCTTCAATTATCGGGATCCTAGCATCCACATTCTGTTCGAGAACATGTTTTCGGAAGATTTTTGGCCAGGCTACAGTATAAATACAATAGCTCATATAGAAGACCAAAATCTGTATTGATTGCGAGAGATAAATATATGTGTTAGCCAGATGCATTCGATGAACATGCAGTTATGTCACTTCCTATAGAGGAATTCGAGAGAATTTCAAAAAGGCATGAATGAATGTCTGGAAATTGTCAAAGAGCATATGTATCCGGTTGATATTCAGTTAAAGGGAAATTGAACATATGAGGTCGAGTATAGAAATAAAACTCAAGAATGATGCTTAGTTCGGATTCAACTCGATCCTAGTGGAGCTACCATAAATATAAATAGTTTTGAATGTCCAAAACCTGTTATCGTACTGCTACATAGAAATGATTTTACGTCTCGATAACCACGGGTACATGGCTGAAGGTAAAATGATATGTGATTACTGTAATATGAGAACTGCCACTACCCCCCTTCGCTACCCCTAGGATTGCAGTAACGAAGCCAGCACAAATCGGAATCTTTTTTGACAGCGGCAGCCAGATCTTAGTTATAAGATGGTATGCGATTCATTCGATCCAGATCAAGCAGTTCATCATGAGATGAGGGAAATTACAAGAAAGCTCAGTTTTGTAATCTGGATCAGCGATCCAATTTTGACCACTTGGCGTAACTGATGGTGCATTTGCACTCATATGAATGTTGAGAAGTGAGTACTTGCTAAGATCACGCCACGATCTTACTACACTTCAACTCATCCACCAAATATAATTATTCTAAGACTCTAAGCAATCAATCCCATTCTTTAAAACTTTCTCATAACATCATTAACCAAATCCCCACCGAAAGTTGCACCTGCACCAAAGACTGCTGCATTACCAAACTTGGTGGCCATCTTCTTTGCCCATTCGTGATGCTAGGTTTGGTTAGTTTTACATCGGGAATTGCATACCCATGTGACGTACCTTGGGATTTTGGGGATGTGCGGGATGGCCTGGATCTTGAGCTTCTTGGCTTATTTTACTGGGGTTAAAACCACCGTTGGGATTGTATCGAGGATCTATGTATTGGGATGGTTGACCATTTCCTTGCTGCTCTTGGCGTTAGTGTATCCGGATTTTGAGTCTATACGGATATCGGGATACAAGAATGATGAAACAACGGAAAAATACACTCGAGAGATACGGCTAGCTGGATAGAGCGTCAAGAACTTAGATTACTTACAGGAAGTTGTGCCATGATTGATTGGAATTGAGCTGGAGCAACAGCACCACTTTGTTGCAAGTATTCGAGCTCAGTTCGAATGGTATTGAGAGATCGGTTTATGGATGCTTGGTCTGGCATGTTGAAGTTGATTTATATTTTTATTTGATGTGAATCGCGTATTGAGAAGGAATTTATTGTCGTTTTATATCGTGGTTTCGTTAACGTTATTTGAATACCAGACCAGCTGAAGTCGTTATTTTCAAGTGTGATTTCCAGGTAAGGAAGGAGGTCAAATGAGTCGACGTCATCGATAATGTTTCTGGCTGATAGATTTTGCCATGTTTGACCGCTTTATATTTATCCCCCTCTTGTTCAATGTTTAAAAGTATCTCCGACAACTCCAAATCAAATCTACTAGAACTCACGTCCTCTTCACACATGACTTATACATATATCAACATGCCTAGCCCATCATCTTTAAGCAAGACTATTGCTCTCAACAATGGCGCACAAATGCCTCGTATCCATCTCGGTGTTTACATGACCTCTGGACGAGAAACCGAAACCGCCGTATCAACCGCTCTCGCAGCAGGATATCTCGCATTTGATTCTGCTGAATGGTATGCAAACGAGGCACAAGTCGGTTCAGCAATGAACAAATATTTGAGTGCCAATAAAAATGTCAAAAGAGAGGATTTATGGTTCACGACAAAATTGAAAACAAACACAAGCTATGATGCTACAAGGAAGGCCGTTAAGGATAGTTTGAAGAGAAGTGGTCTGGATTATATTGATTTATATCTATTACATAGTCCGTATGGCGGAAAAAAGCGTAGACTGGAATGTTGGAGAGCGGTAGAGGATGCTATTGCGGATGGAGAAGTGAGGGCTGGTGGTGTGAGTAATTATGGTGTAAAACATGTAAGTTTCCCTTTCTCCAGGTTCTTTTTTCACAATCTCCAAATACGCATATGAAGAGTTCCTTTCGATCCTTCCTAAATTCCTGGGTTTGGTCGGTGTATCTCTCGGCTCAATTTTTTTAATATTGTACAATTTCTCTTCGTTTAGTCGCAGACACGAGGCTGATATTTTCTTCCCAATAGTTGCAAGAACTACTCGATTCAAAGCCACGAATAATCCCCACTGTGAATCAAATCGAAGTCCACCCATTCAATACTCGAACCGACATTACTTCGTTCTGTCAATCGAACGGTATCGTTGTTGAAGCGTACGCACCTTTAGCTCGAGCATTACGAATGAAGCATCCTAAGATCGTCTCTTTATCGAAGAAATATTCGTGCAGCCCCGCGCAATTATTGGTAAAATGGTCTTTACAGCATGGTTATGTGCCACTGCCGAAGAGTGTTACCAAAGAAAGAATCATTTCAAACGGCGATGTCGATGGCTTTGAGATTGAGGATGGAGATATGAAAGAAATGGATGGCTTAGATGAATATTTGGTGACAGATTGGGATCCTACTGATGCGGATTAATTAGATTGATTAATATCGAATGGGCCAGATTTTAAATGCAGTATTCATGATCGCAAAGTGAACCATCTCAAAAATCTTGTCCTCTCAACTCAGATTTACCTTCTCCCGAAGAACTGAAGCATTCTGCCATGTCTTCATCTCCCATACTGAAATAATCGCTAAAGCCCCTTCATCACTTTTTGGTTCACTGTACACCAAACATGGATGAAAGTTGCAACCAATTATGGAATTGGGCGCGTCCTATAGGATGAAGTATCTCCGTGACTTTATGAGTTCGAATTCAAAAATTGAGTCGAGACTGAAATGTCCTCGTTCTATTTTCGGGGGATCCCTATAATATTTACCACGCATCTCCCCATCTCCCCTCAAAAATTACCCCTCATCCGATACCGGAAAAATTCCGATTAACGAAAGTATTCATCACAACTTTGACAAATCTTTCTTCCTATCTTCACCAAGAACACTCGAAACATTGGCATCCACCTTGAGCCACCTTCATCGGATATATTGTAATGCTTTACGAAGTGTTGAGTCGAGGTAAGCGATTGCCGCAAGAAAAACCACATGAGGGTGAGGTGGCACAGTGAAGTTGTTACGCTTCTGCAGGAACAAAATGAAGTATTACCAAATAATTTCATGGGTACAGTTCCAAGACTTCGGGACATGTAGGAAGACTGGGAACTCTCGGGGAAATGCATTGTAACACTTTTATCCTGGCGAGCCTGGCTGCCTGGGTTTGAATGCGCGGGGCGTTCATTCTTCCATCTCGCATCTTCATCAAAGAGTCAATCATCCTTGATAGTTACCCCAGCGTGGCTAGGGATCTTTGCATGCGCCATACATGCCTCAACATTGCATTTAGAAAAAGTTTGCCGAGCATGCTAATGCAGGATTCCGGGTACGTGAAAGCTTGGGCTGTTAATCTATATGCGTATTGACCAATAGGAGATGTACGATAAGAATTTCTATTTGATTCATCGGTGACACCGTATATAACATGTCATTGGTCGATTTCAACCTCTCTTCTTCTCTTCTTTCAGTTTGGGTTGAATAATCTTCAAAACGGGATCCAGTAAAAGCAAAGATCCAGAGAAGAGGAGAGAAGGAAAGGGTAGACTTCTTGAAGCCATCCTAATTTTGGTTAGATTGACGGGGGTGGATAAAGCAAAGGATCAATTAGATTTGATATTTCGACATATCTCCATTGTCCCACGCAGATACACCAAAATATGCAATGTAACGATACGACCGATCACGGCGTGGAGGGGGTCACGTCATGTATCAGATTTTCTTCAATTTTCTCATGGAACATGCAATTCCGCTGACTGAATGAGAACTTTTACGGAACAGACGATCATTTTCATAGCAAACACAATTATGCAAGAGATTGAGTGAGACACATTGATTTGACAGGAAGAATACAATTGGAAAATCTTTATCAAGTCATCCATCTGCATTACTTTTTTCACCCCCTCCTCCCCTCCATCCGAACCTCCAATATCGGAGCCACAAAAAAACACTGGAGGCATGGATGCACATACAAGCCTTCACCCAGCTAGACAATTTATTAGCACATTTCATCGAATATTCAATGGGTCCTGAACCGGCACCAAAGTGTTACTAGTTCGTTCACTCTAATCCACCCCACCTCGATACAAAAAGGTCTCTCTTCCCTTCAGTCTTGCCGGTTGCTTTACTCAATCTACCAACTTCTATTCTTCTTTTTCACTTAACGTTCATATTGCCAATTTCTTCATTTGATACCCAAACAACCACAATAATAATCATGTCTAACCTTCCATCTGAGCCAGAGTTCGAGCAAGCTTACAATGGTTTGTCCCTCCTTGTGCGCCTTCACATGTCAACAAACAACTAACACACATTTCTTCAGAGCTTGCCTCAACTCTTGAGAACTCCACTCTTTTCGAGAAGAACCCAGAATACCGTACCGCCCTCAAGATCGTTTCCATCCCAGAAAGAGTTATCCAATTCCGTGTCGTCTGGGAAGATGACAAGAACCAAGTCCAAGTCAACCGCGGATACCGTGTGCAATTCAACAGCGCTCTCGGACCATACAAGGGAGGATTGAGATTCCACCCTACCGTCAATCTCAGTGTTTTGAAGTTCTTGGGTTTTGAGCAAATCTTCAAGAATGCTCTGACTGGGTGTAAGTCTTAACTATCCGCGGATCTTCGGTTCGATGAAAGCGAATATAAATGAAGAAATGATATGCTGACGATTATTCTCAACAGTGAACATTGGAGGTGGTAAAGGAGGAGCCGACTTCGACCCAAAAGGCAAATCCGACAACGAAATCCGCAGATTTTGCGTTTCTTTCATGCGCGAGTTGAGCAAGCACATTGGAGCCGACACTGATGTCCCAGCTGGTGACATCAACGTAGGAGGAAGAGAAATTGGCTTCCTCTTCGGTGCCTACAAGGCTATCCAAAACAAATGGGAGGGTGTTCTTACTGGAAAGGGAGGAAGCTGGGGTGGATCTTTGATCAGACCTGAGGCTACCGGTTACGGTCTCGTTTACTACGTCGCCCACATGATCCAATATGCTGGTCAAGGTTCATTCCAAGGAAAGCGCGTTGCCATCTCCGGATCCGGAAACGTTGCCCAATACGCCGCTCTCAAGTGTATTGAGCTCGGTGCCACCGTTGTATCCCTCTCCGATTCTCAAGGTTCCTTGATCGCTGAAGGAGATGCATACTTCACCCCAGAAGACATTGGAAAGATCGCCGAGTTGAAGCTCAAGAGACAATCCCTCACCGCTTTCGAACACGGAGGAAAATACAAGTACATCGAGGGTTCCAGACCTTGGACCCACGTCAAGGTCGATGTTGCACTTCCATGTGCTACCCAAAACGAAGTCAGCAAGGAAGAGGCTGAGTCTCTCGTTGCCAGCGGTGCTAGATACATTGCTGAAGGATCCAACATGGGTTGTACACAAGAGGCCATTGATGTCTTTGAGGCTGAGCGCAAGGAGAAGAAGGGTGAGGCCATCTGGTACGCACCAGGAAAGGCTGCCAACGCTGGTGGTGTCGCTGTCTCCGGTCTCGAGATGGCACAAAACAGTGCTCGCATCAGCTGGACTCAAGAGGAGGTTGATGAGAAGCTCAAGGATATCATGAAGAACGCATTCGAGAATGGATTGGAGACCGCCAAGAAGTACGTCGAGGCAAAGGACGGCGAATTCCCATCTTTGGTTGCTGGTTCCAACATTGCTGGATTCGTCAAGGTTGCTAGCGCTATGCACAACCACGGTGATTGGTGGTAAATGTTTACGATGTTGATGAATTAAATGGCTGGATACTTTAAAAACTTGTATATATGATGCGGGATTTGCGGGTTGGGTGGGAAATATCTTTTGCGTGGGAAATCAGGTAGCTTAAAGTTAAAACTTTGATGGAAATGAATTAAATAACCAAAGAATAATCTTAGTTTTTGATGGTGAATCATTATGTCTTCATGACTGAAAAAACTTATAGCTAAAATGTGTTTGCTTGTTTCATGGAATATCTGCACATCAGGTGGAACTCCAAAGTAAACGCAGCTAGTTCATATAGGCAAATTTGGCATTACATTCATGTCTCTAAGACTATACCTTTGGCCTTTTTGTAAGTGATTCGAAACTAGTAA